GACCCCCCCCGCCCCGGACTGGGCCCAGTCTCCCCCGGACTGCTCCCAGCGCCCGTACTGGTCCCAGTAACCCACCCGGACTGGTCCCACTCACCCCTCCCGGTATTGGTGCGGCACCCATAAAGCTCCCAGCGCTCCCGTACTGATCCCGGCACCGATACTGGACCCAATAACCCTCTATACTGGTCCCAGTAACCATCTGTCCCCTATACTGGTCCCAGCACCCCCATACTGGTCCTAGAGGCCCATACTGGTCCCAATAATCCCATACTGGTCCCAGTAACCCCTTCCTGGTTCCAGCGATTCCATAGTGCTTCCAGGATGCCATACTGGTCCTGGCTCAGCACTGGTCCTAGTGACCCCACAGAACTGGTCCCAGTGACCCCATACAGGTCCCAGTGCTCCCCAGCACCCTCCCAGTAACCCACAGTACCCCCCAGCACCCTCCCAGTACACACCTATGTACCATCCTAGTGGCCCCCAGTAGCCCCCAGCACCCACCAGCCACCAGCACCCTCCCCATACCCCCCAGTACATTCCCAGCACCCTCCCAATACCCCCAACACCCTCCCAGTGCCCCCAGAACCCCTCAGCCGTGTCCCCAACGCCCTGGAGGTCCCCAAGACCTTCCGTGACCCAGGTGTCCCCAACGCCCTGGAGGTCCCCAAGACCTTCCGTGACCCAGGTGTCCCCAACGCCCTGGAGGTCCCCAAGACCTTCCGTGACCCAGGTGTCCCCAACGCCCTGGAGGTCCCCAAGACCTTCCGTGACCCAGGTGTCCCCAACGCCCTGGAGGTCCCCAAGACCTTCCGTGACCCAGGTGTCCCCAACGCCCTGGAGGTCCCCAAGACCTTCCGTGACCCAGGTGTCCCCAACGCCCTGGAGGTCCCCAAGACCTTCCGTGACCCAGGTGTCCCCAACGCCCTGGAGGTCCCCAAGACCTTCCGTGACCCAGGTGTCCCCAACGCCCTGGAGGTCCCCAAGACCTTCCGTGACCCAGGTGTCCCCAACGCCCTGGAGGTCCCCAAGACCTTCCGTGACCCAGGTGTCCCCAACGCCCTGGAGGTCCCCAAGACCTTCCGTGACCCAGGTGTCCCCAACGCCCTGGAGGTCCCCAAGACCTTCCGTGACCCAGGTGTCCCCAACGCCCTGGAGGTCCCCAAGACCTTCCGTGACCCAGGTGTCCCCAACGCCCTGGAGGTCCCCAAGACCTTCCGTGACCCAGGTGTCCCCAACGCCCTGGAGGTCCCCAAGACCTTCCGTGACCCAGGTGTCCCCAACGCCCTGGAGGTCCCCAAGACCTTCCGTGACCCAGGTGTCCCCAACGCCCTGGAGGTCCCCAAGACCTTCCGTGACCCAGGTGTCCCCAACGCCCTGGAGGTCCCCAAGACCTTCCGTGACCCAGGTGTCCCCAACGCCCTGGAGGTCCCCAAGACCTTCCGTGACCCAGGTGTCCCCAACGCCCTGGAGGTCCCCAAGACCTTCCGTGACCCAGGTGTCCCCAACGCCCTGGAGGTCCCCAAGACCTTCCGTGACCCAGGTGTCCCCAACGCCCTGGAGGTCCCCAAGACCTTCCGTGACCCAGGTGTCCCCAACGCCCTGGAGGTCCCCAAGACCTTCCGTGACCCAGGTGTCCCCAACGCCCTGGAGGTCCCCAAGACCTTCCGTGACCCAGGTGTCCCCAACGCCCTGGAGGTCCCCAAGACCTTCCGTGACCCAGGTGTCCCCAACGCCCTGGAGGTCCCCAAGACCTTCCGTGACCCAGGTGTCCCCAACGCCCTGGAGGTCCCCAAGACCTTCCGTGACCCAGGTGTCCCCAACGCCCTGGAGGTCCCCAAGACCTTCCGTGACCCAGGTGTCCCCAACGCCCTGGAGGTCCCCAAGACCTTCCGTGACCCAGGTGTCCCCAACGCCCTGGAGGTCCCCAAGACCTTCCGTGACCCAGGTGTCCCCAACGCCCTGGAGGTCCCCAAGACCTTCCGTGACCCAGGTGTCCCCAACGCCCTGGAGGTCCCCAAGACCTTCCGTGACCCAGGTGTCCCCAACGCCCTGGAGGTCCCCAAGACCTTCCGTGACCCAGGTGTCCCCAACGCCCTGGAGGTCCCCAAGACCTTCCGTGACCCAGGTGTCCCCAACGCCCTGGAGGTCCCCAAGACCTTCCGTGACCCAGGTGTCCCCAACGCCCTGGAGGTCCCCAAGACCTTCCGTGACCCAGGTGTCCCCAACGCCCTGGAGGTCCCCAAGACCTTCCGTGACCCAGGTGTCCCCAACGCCCTGGAGGTCCCCAAGACCTTCCGTGACCCAGGTGTCCCCAACGCCCTGGAGGTCCCCAAGACCTTCCGTGACCCAGGTGTCCCCAACGCCCTGGAGGTCCCCAAGACCTTCCGTGACCCAGGTGTCCCCAACGCCCTGGAGGTCCCCAAAACCTTCCGTGACCCAGGTGTCCCCAATGCCCTGGAGGTCCCCAAGGCCCTGAAGGACCCCAATGCCCTGGAGGACCCCAACTCCCTTGGTGCCACCACACCGTCATGGGACAAGGTGGTGTTCGTGCTGCCGGCCTTCGAGGTCCGCGCGGGCACACGGGTGCCGGGGACGAAGGCGGAGCTTCTGCAGCGGTGGGACACGGGGGACGCCCGGCCCTTCTATGGGGCACTGTGCCCCCGGTGCCAAGCACCCACGGACTACGGGCGCTGGTGGGCGCTGCCACCCACCCCCCACCTGCGCGTGGCCTACGAGGCCGCATGGCGTGACCCCTGGGAGCCCTTCTACGTGGGGCCGGCCCGCGGCGTGCCACCCTTCGACGAGCGCTTCCTCCAGTACGGCTTCAACCGCATCAGCCAGGTGCCGTGGGGCTGGGGGGTGGCTGTGGTGACCATAGGGTGGCCGTGGGGGTTGGGGGTGCTGTGGGGTGGCCATGTTGACCATAGGGTGGCCATGGGGCTATGGGTTGTTGTGGGGTGGCCCTGGGTGCTATGGGGTGGCTGTGGTGTCCATAGGGTGGCTGTGGGGGTTGGGAGGGCTGCAGCGTGGCCCTGGGTGCTATGGGGTGGCCGTGGTGACCATAGGGTGGCCGTGGGGGTTGGGGGTGCTGTGGGGTGGCCATGTTGACCATAGGGTGGCCATGGGGCTATGGGTTGTTGTGGGGTGGCCCTGGGTGCTATAGGGTAGTCATGGGAGCTGAGGGTGCTCTGGGGTGGCCACAGTCACCATAGGGTGGCCATGGGGCTGTGGGTTGCTGTGGTGTGGCCCTGGTGACCAGAGGGTGGCCATGGGAGTTGGGGGTGCTGTGAGGTGGCCCTGGGTGCTATGGGGTGGCCATGGTGACTGTAGGGTGGCCATGGGGCTGTGAGTTGCTGTAGGGTGGCCCTGGGTGCTATAGGGTGGTCACGGGAGCTGAGGGTGCTCTGGGGTGGCCACAGTGACCACAGGGTGGTCATGAGGGCTGTGGGGTCTGTGGGGCGGTCATGGGGCTACGGGTGCTCTTAGGGGGACTGTGGGTGCTATAGAGAATCTGTGGGTGCTGTAGGGTTCTATGGATGCTATAGGGGTCTGTGGGTGTTGTAGAGGGTCTAAGGGTGCTGTAGATAGTCCATGGGTGCTCTGGGGGATCTATGGGTGCTGTAGGGATCTATAGGTGCTATGTGTCTTTTTGGGTGCTCCGTGGGTGCTGTGGGGGCCTATGGGTGCCATGGGGGTCTGTGGGTGCTATAAGGCATCAGTGGGTGCTGTGGGGTTCTATGAGTGCTATAGAGGATCTATGGGTGCTATAAGGCATCAGTGAGTGCTGTGGGGGTCTATGGGTGCTATAAGGCATCAATGGGTGCTGTAGAGGATCTATGGGTGCTGTGTGGGTCTATGGGTGCTATAGGTAATCAGTGGGTGCTATGGGAGTCTATGGGGGCTATAAGGCATCAGTGGGTGCTATGGGTGTCTGGGATGCTATAGGGGTGGGGGTGGGGGGTGTCGTGGGTGCCATGGGTGATGCTCCCCCCACCCCAGGCGTGCGAGCTGCACATGGTCGGCTTCCGCTTCGCGGTGCTGGACGGAGCCTTCGTCGTCCACCGTGGCTTCAAGGAGGCCGGCGGCTTCCACGGGGGGCGGGAGGCCGAACTGCACCACAACCGGCAGCTCTTCCGGCACTTCCGCGCCGAGCTGCGCCAGCGCTACCCCGACTCGCCCCGCCGCTGCTGACCACACGCCTGGGTCCCCCCCACCCGGACACCTGGGTCCCCTCTGCCTGGACACCTGGGTCCCCTCTGCACCGGACGCTTGGGTCACCTCCACACCGGATGCTTGGGTCCTCTCCACACCGGACGCCTGGGTGCCCTGCACCCGCACACCCGGGGCCCCTCCCCAACGGGGG